CTTCTGAATTGATCGATAGCTTTGTAGATGTCGCCACAACTAAGTCGATTGCAGAGTCCAAGAAACTGTAAAAAATCATAGAGTACACTCAGTTCCTACAAGACAACTCTGTTTAGATTTAAAAATTTCAAAAAAGTATTAAGAAATGGAGTTGTACAAGATTACGTGTCTATAACCGTCTGGATGTCTCCCAAATATACACACTATTTGCGGCGACCTAATGCTTCATTGTGAATGGCGCACACTTGACAAGGCCATCATAACACGGTCATTTGTGGGCGTGTACGTCGTTTAAGCAGATTTTGGAGCACTTATAACGCCCTGTCGAGGATGTTTTCCGACCCGACAATGTTTCATGTGCTATCCTTGAGGGACACAAGTTCATCATAGGGGGGAATCTCATAAACTATTTTTTTTTACGAACTGCGCCTTCAAATTTTTATTATTTCCACAATCACTTCATCCAAAATAGGTTTTCCCAAAGGCGGAAGTTATTGTCTTCTGTAAATACGTATGTCTTTCTGTAATACTTTTGAACGAAATTTTCGCAAACGGAGTTTTTCGATAATTAAGAAAATTGAAAAAAAAACCTCGGGAAGCTCCGGTCCGGGATCTCCAAACGTGTCACTATCTGGTCCCTTGAAAAGTGCGTCAACTATCCGCTTGAAGTCAAATGAGTTACCTAAAATCTGTCTGGAAGGAGAATCAATGGAAAAAGGTGAGAAATTCAGTCCGAACTGAGCTATCAGCAGGTACTTACTATTAATTTTCCCTGAAGAAGAATCCGCTGCTGGATCATTCAGTGGAGATTGACCAATTTTCTTTTGTTGATCGAGCATTTGAAAAATACCCGACAAAATCCCACGTTGGCCAAAAAGTGTCGACGCCCATTCCTCCTTGGATATTGGGTTGTTCATTTGAGCAGGGTCATCTGAAATTTTAAGTTATGCTTACCTACTCGTAGGAAGAAAGTGGGGCACTAGAAGCTAGTAAGAATATTATAACTATGATTCGACAACTCCATTAAATCAAGGCTGTCAACGTTCCGTAGCCAGATTCGCGCTCAGAGGGTAAAGGTAAGGTCATTTATGTAGGTTATCCTTTCTAGTTATAATTTTTCATATCCTACAAAAACTCCGAAATCGATCAGATTGCATGGTAGAGCCCAAAATGGGCAGGAACAGAGGGGGACGGGAGGCCTCCGCCCCTCGCTAGGCTGACTACGAGTTCTAATTGTCCTTCACCACAATCGCACTGGAGCGAAGTTGGTGAAAAATCGATAAGCTGGTTGGCAAAATGCCAGAGACGCAATGTGCTGTCTGCTATTGCATACAACACATTGCATCGCCTTCGTGCACTCGCCCGAACACTCCCTAACCGCCGTTCTTTTAATGTGAAGCTCGTCCAACCCCCCTTTCNAGCTATTTTTCTTTGACCCTTTGTAATTCTTTTTGTCCATCGTTTTTTGCGCTTTTTTCGTTGTTATCGCTATATTCTAGAGTAGTTCTATCAATTCCCGTCAAAAAAGGGTACCCTAAATTCATTGCTAACGGTGCCTTTAACATCCTTTTGACATTGGATAGGCATTAGAAGGATGCATCGACTCAGGGGAACGATTCTGAGTCAAAAGTTGCAATCACGATTGAAAAATTGATCACGGAAACGGTACAAACCGTTAGATAAGGTGTTGCTTCACAAGGAAGCTACGCCATGCTTTCGAGTTTCATTCAAAGTGGCACTTATAATGAGTGCACTGTATCTGACTATTCTATCATTACAGGCATACCGAGTAAGGGTATTTTTAAGCCCTGAAGAGAAAAGGTTGCCTCTCGATACTGGCCATTTGAGGAGAAGCCATAAATCAGTATATCACCATAGGTAAGATCAGGGCAGGCCGGAAGATCCGGAAAAACCATCAAAAAGAATATCGCGACGTCTTCTAATCTCATTTCGGGATGTGCCCTGCACTCGAACTTCCTTAAGAGTCGCGGTGGCGTTTTGAATGCTTATGCAGCCTATACAATGTTTTGCGTTGCGGTACAAATCAGGGATTTCAACCCCTCAGAGGAATCTACTACCAATCAACCGATCCCGTAGGAATGACAGGCTTGTCGGATAGGACACTATTGATCCGGAATCTGACCGGGATTCGGACTCTTGACATGCCTATGTTGAAGAGCCCCACTAAGACCCGCCACCATAACACCTCCGCCCTGAAAGCGTACACTGTATTGAAAAATAACTCCGTTCAAGTTAGTCCCCTGTAGAGTTCATGTCAGACCGTTCAAGCCCTTAGCTCGAGTTCCCAGACCAAGGCCATCAGCAGAAACGCTCCCTTTGTTTGTTTAAACGATGGGACGTTTCTTTTTCCATGCAAATATCGATGAAGCGAACTAAGGCACATGACGCTATTCTTCAACCATTTATTTCCCAGCCATTGCACTGATGAGATGAATTTGGGACCTTACAACGCGTCCTTCAAGTCTTTTTCATAGTCCCAGACCTGTCGTCGTTATCGCCATTATATCGAACATCGATCAATAATTTCATTTACACTTAATCTCTAGTTAAAGGGACGGTTATTCCCATTCCATCACAAAAGGTGAAGTGGTAGGGGAGGGGGCCGATCGAGAAGCAGTAAAGAAAAGAGTACAAACCTGCGAGGTTCTTCATATCGTTTTGTGCTTGAACCGAAATGGTGCCCAGGCTTTTGTCCATAGTTCCTGGCTGGTTTGCAACTGACGACATGATGAATTTTCTCTAAATGATGACAGTTTATCAATTTTACCAGCAAAAAATCGAAAACGTCCCTTGAAATTGCTAATCCACTCCAAAAATTCCTATAACATCTATTGGTCTCGAACCCTACATGGGACCTTTCAATGGTCATGTCAGATGTTGTCTTTAACATTTTCCCCTCATTGTAACGATATTACTTTACTGTTTCAACTCACTTGTTACAACTTTTACTTCAGGAATGAGATTAGAATAAAAAGGTACAATTCTGGAGAGATGAGCTATGGGGAGAGGGACCACAAAAACGAATGCTCAAGCTATCAGAAATAGACTGAAAGCTGTTCCCCACAGAAAAATAGCCATTTCATCTCACATACACAGATGCACTTAAGGTTGTGGTAAGTAAAAAACAATGTTTGGAGTACTGGTAATTTTCCAAGTGAACAACCATCTGCTGTGTACCAGATAGTTCAGAGTTGAGACTTGTTTCAGAGGATCACTCTCCTACCTCCTTTATGGTGGTGTAAGGAAATGGAAAATGGAAAAATCGTTTTCAAAAAAAAGCTAGCTAACGAGCAAACTTCGAGGGATAGCCTGGTATCATCTACTCATAGTACACCTCAAAATAGTCAGTGAGCACCTTGTGATTGAGCATGCACATAACAGTTTATAGCTAACAGTTTATACCAGTGATTATTATTTTGTAATCTATTATAATTGGCTCAATGTTGAATATTTTCGATGATCAACACTTTTAACCGCCATTTGTAATAGATCTGGTTTCTAATTTGATGTTATTACGCTCCTTATAAGTCTATATAAGTCCTCATAAACAATATGTAACGCACACTAGATTGGCTTATAATATCAGAAAAACACAAACAAACAAGGAAACAAACAGATGATGTTTTCGCTGATTGGAATTATTTCATTCTCCTCTTAAGTCTGCTTGTAATTTTGATGTATCTGCATAAATTGCTAGGTAAATACTAGAAAGCTTTCGGAAGGGAAAGTCTTTTTTCATAAGTTTATGCTCTCTACTGCCCATCTTCAATTCTATTACGACAATTTACGCAACACGAATTAAAAATAGTTGGTAGAATTCAGAATTTTACACAAGCTACATTTGCAACCATTTTTCCTGCTTCCCTGTAACCATTTTTCTGGTGTTTGAGAGCGCACAACTTTTTACAAATTCTCGCTTTTTACTTGAAAAGCATAAATATTTTTCTAAATGGTATTTGTCAGTACGAACACATAGTGCCAGAACCTGGGAATTCACAGCCCGACCCCACAGAATTAACAGACCTCCGAAATTTCTGAGTATACAGTTTGGTGACCAGATTCATGTCAAGTTCATTCAACAAGTGTTTTCGGTAGCCCTCATAGAAGGGCTGATCATTGATCAGTGGATAAGTAAGTCAAGTCTTTCTGACTATGGGCCTCTTTAAAATCAGCGGAAGACGGAGCAAAAACCTCTTTCCCAGCGAAAGGATTCTCATCCAAGGGCATCCCTGATATGACTCAGCCGGTGGATGTCGCCATGACGAATTGCTCACTGATTACTTTTGATGACAATTTTCAGAAAACCTAGTTGGACAGGCTGGAAGCGGTCGGATTTGAGGAAAACCTTGAACCACTAGCGGTTTCCCGTTAGTATCATCAACTCTTCGGTTGATGGTGAAGTTTTGCTCCCTCTGAAGATCTACTAGTTTGATTGTGCCTGTATGCAAATTCTGCCTTACCCGACGACAATGGCCATTGTGAATTACGCCCCGAAAATTCGCGTCACCCTGAGTGACCTCAATGGGCCAAACAATAATTTCTTTTCGTTCACAGATCGGCAGAGAAGACAGCAAAAAACTCTAAAAAGATAAAGCAAAACTCAGCATTAGTTAATTATCCGGGTCGCTTTTGGTTGTGCCATGCATTCGGCTTCTATAAGGAACTTCTTCTTTATGACATGTCGAACTGCCAGGTAGTTTCATACCCGCGTATATCCCCTTCTCCTTTTCCTGTTCTATTGCCTCTTCCTTCCCCTCGTCTTGTTTAACGAGGACGAAGATTCTTTCTCGGCAGTTCCCTTTCCGGTACCCTCACAATGGAGCTATTGTAGAGAAGAATAATGCGGGGAGACGGGCAGCTAAATCTGTTTTGTATAATCGATTCGCCGCACGCGGCAGTCGTGGGCCAGCTGTCCCATTGTGACAGTTCCAGCGTTCTTCATACAGTTCGATCGATATGCGACTAGTATTTTTGGCATGATTCTACTGCTACTTCTTTTGTTCCTGTACTTCTTACTTGCTGTGATGTACCTGTTTCAACCCTTCGCGAGCAACGTCGCTACGCCGCGAAGCGAAATCCGATTGAAATGCCATCTATCTTCTATGCTACTCATACAGCGGGTACAGTTTTGAAAAAGCTGGACGGATCGATAGCAAATGCAAAGCTTTAACTGTTTTTGAAACCGATCGATAGAGCGCACTCAAATGTTTACGGGGGTAATGAGCCTGGACGACGCAAGTGAAATGCCCGATTCCTGACCTCAAACCCATCCAGGAACGATAGGAATACCAACCGTTCATATGTAGCAGGAATCGGAAAAGGGACCGAGGACACTTTAAAAAATACACGTACAACTTTAAAAAAAAAGGTGTTTGCACTTAAAAAGTGTACTTTAATTCCTCCACGACATTAGAAGGTGAGTTGGTTTTTTGGGGCGAAATAAAACAAATTGAATTGATGGTACAGAAAGATAAATTGAGATTTTCTGTGATACAACGCGGTAGAAATTCCTAATATATTACCGTAAATCATCGAAGATCTGCGACATTTTCGAAATTTTCAAAGCGCCTAATCTGTTTAGGACAAAATTACTTGGGAAACGCCCTGCTGACAGCACTCCCAGACAGGAACCTAGGCCCAGGCAATTATGCGCCTGTCCTACAGCCGTATCGCCTACCCTATAACATCGATCAGCTTCGGGCGATATAGGCGAATATTATAACTAGACAGATTGGACTGGTTCCATTAAATGATAAAAAAAGAAGGATTTATAATGAAAAAGCTGTTACAACGAACCCTCAGAGCCTCATTGACCTCATTTGTTTTCTGAGTTCTTGCATGAGTAGATATCACAATGATGGCACATGTAATATATGATAATATTCTCATGGAACCCTAAAACACAAAGAATGAATATCGACGATTGTTTACGGAATGTTTTCCTAAAAACCAAACTACAAAACGTAAACTACAAGCATTGTTATGTAATAAATGTGAGCCTACTGGAACGATGCGATGATGGCGGTAGATTAGTGGAAATCCAGTTTTTTCTGTCCTGAAACTGTCACCTATTTACTCGTTCAATACAATTTTTCTCATTGAACTCAATGAAGTAATGTAATAAAGTAAAATCATGGATTTATAATCCTCGTAATAAGTATATCAACACTAAATGTTCACATAACGGATCAGATGGAAAGAAAAAGGAAAGAAAGAAGGAATGGAAGGAAAAGGAAATAAGGTAATTCTCTTTCGGCATGTCAAAATGGCTATGCAACAGAAAGGAAAGGAAACAGGAGGGAATAGAGACAGGAAAAAAGGAAGAGGCAAGGAAGGATAGAAAGAAAGAAGGAAAGGAAGGAAAAGTTAGAGGAGGAAACAATTAAAAAATATAGATAAATAAACAAATGAACAAATAAATAAAGAAGAAAGGAATGTAAGCACTGGAATCTTTTGAGTCAATGCACAACAGCTTCAAAATAGACTGTGTATGTAGAGCTAAAATGTTTTGTGAACGCTGTGAATACACAGGAAGGTCATAGGAATTCGAGTTACAGTACTACATTACAGTAGGAAACACAGCGTTCCAACTTCTGTAGACAGGAAAACCAGATGAGGAAATGGTAATGCTGTGAGAACGAAAATTTGAAAGTGCTGAGCGGTAGTGGATGGCAGCCAGGAGGCAAACGGCAGCGTCAGATCGAGACTCTTTGCTGATCATGAAGTGATTTCGTTGGGGGGTTGAAGATGGTGGTGGAAAAGCAGTTTAGCGATGAATTTCTGTTGCCGTAGGCATCTAGACATTGGCATGAGTCATGCGCGTTCAAGTAGCCAAGGACGTTAGGAAAGACGATCTGCCTTATTCAGCAAAACCCGTTTCCATGACAGGAACCGATCGCCCTACACCAGATTGAGGCAACTAATACTTTCAATCGAAATGTGTCATTCATTTGTCATCCATCATCTCGTTTAACAACACACATTTTTTTTTATGTAATTATAGTTTTTTGCTAGCATTTAATTGATAGCATTTCCTGTTAATGGTATACTGTTGATCATAAGCGTAACTACATTCCATTCCTGTATAAATGGTTGTACTCCTGAGTAAGTACGCCCGCAGGTGTCCCACTTTTCATGGGCTCAGCGCATTTCTGCTGTCCCCAGTACCACTCAGATGTTCAGGTGGGTAAGCGAGTGGAGAGCTCAGGGTACAGACTAGTAAAGCGAAGGAATCACAACGTCCTTAACTCCTATCTACCCCAGTGTCCTGTCGGAAACTCCCTGGGGATCCAGGCGTGGTGTAGGGATTGCAGAGTTGAATTCAAATGGGGTCCTACAATTTCCGTCAGCGCCCCAGTTTCAGGACAACGTGCAGCTTATTTCTAACGCTGTTTAATTTTTTTTCATTTATTGATCGAAAGTTTGATGATTGCCTTTCAATGTGCTTCTCAAGGAACTGTGTACTCTCTACCTGTTGTTACTTGTAACTTTTGTTCCAACCCTCATTACAAACTTCATCCGCTCAGATTTGTTAGAGATATATCACATTTCTGCCTGCACTTGTGGCACATTTATGATGTCGAACTATCACGCGTTATCATCCCTATTCGACACTTATCTTTACAATATAAACCAGCTTTGGGNATTAGTCAGACAGCGAAGAGCCTTATTTACGTGTAGGCATGTTTATTCATCAA